CCGCCACCGCCGCCGCCGCAGTCAGGGCCGCGGGCGAGGGTCCGGGCGGCCCGGCGGAGTCCCGCATCGCGGCGCCGCACGCGGGGAGGTCCCGGCCCGTCGGCGAAGAGAGGGACCGAGAGCCGCGTGCTTACAGGGAAACGGAAAATGAAAGGAGCTGGAAATGCCGAGCTGCGGTCTGCGTGGACTAAACTTTGAAAACAGGACTGCCACACGGCGCTCCTGGGAAACCCTGTCCCGGATTGGGGAGAAAATCAGTGCTGGAGGAGGAGAGAAGTGGGCGCTGTGCTAGTCCGTCTCCGAATCCAGAAGTAGTTGCTGTGTTTGTAGGCCTGGGAAATTTGGGGTAATTTCTTTAGCTTTTGATAGGAAGAAAGAATCCATTCAACATGATACACACTGAGGCGATGTGATAGAATTTTTCTAATCTGTTTAAATTTTATGACTTACTTTTTAAAAGTGTATCCCATGCATTGTATTGATTAAACAGTTGTACCGGTTGCCTCGGCTTTATTTGTTAATTATGGAAAATGACAATGTTATACAGCAAAGAAAGATTAACCAATTTTCACTGGATAGAAATTGTAACAACGTAGTTTTTAAGTTACAATTTCTGTGAGTGTTGGCATTGGTTAATTTTCTGACTTGACAGTTATCTGAATAAAATTACTTTTCTTAAAATATTTTAGAGACTAACACAACTCACAAATTCTGATCATCTCAATAGACAGTAAAACTTTGTATCTTAAATTACCTGAAGACATTGAAATATTGTCCATAATATGTAAATTGCCAGTATATAAAGGATAACGTTAGAAACCCCTCCTGAAAACTAAGCTTGTAAGTTAGTCTTTCCAAAGTTACGGAGTTCTTAGAAAATATTAAGTACAACATATTCAAAATTAAGATAAAATATCTTCAGTACTTAAAAGCAGTTGAATTTTTTGGTAGAAGAGTCATTGTGCAATTTTAAGAATTCATCCTCAAGTTCCCAAGGCTATCAGGGTTGATACAGTCCTTGCCCCTGGCTGGCTAGTGCTTAATTTAGCTCCCTGGAATCCTACCCTTCCATTGGTTCCCCAGTCACCCGAGGCACGCTTTCTCCCTCTAGTGGTGAAGCCCTCAGATGTCTTGCCTTTGGTCACCGTGTCTCTCCTGGGTGAAACGTTTGGATAGAGGAGTGATGGATCCCGGATTTTAGAGCGATAGAGATCCCCCGACTAGCTATGAGAGGCCCCTGCGAACACATTTGCTCACGTGTTACTTTCTGATTTGCAGATCCTGGTGTGTCCAGCTCCTCCAGAGATGTCACGACTGTGTTCATGTACTAAGATGGGTTCCGTTCCAAGCCTGTGAAGTGTAATCCTGGCACTAGGACTCAATGAAATCCACTCATGGGGAGAAACCTTTCTATAAACTAGTAATTCACTGTGAGAATTTCACTCGGCTATATTTTGCTAGTAGTTAGAAGATGTATGTGTGTCCTTTGCCATAACTTCGCTGTACACATTTTGTTAAGTATAGCTATACAGTGCATATAGAACTATACCACCAGAGGAATGGACTACCATAGTCTTTAGTCGCTATATCTAGTTAGGAGACTTAAATTTTCACTTAGGAAGTAGGCAACAGGGAGGAAGAAAACATAGTCCACCTTCGCTGTTTTTCACATAGCTGGTTCTTTTTCATCCTTTCTATCAGCCTACAGAAATTGTTCCTTCCAACTACCACCTCCTACTAACTTCGCACCTTAGCTATTTCCTTCATGACACAATCTATAAATATTATATGTTAAGTTTTAAAATCTACCTTCCCCTCTAGAATATGATCTTTTTAAGGGCAGGATTATGTCTATCCTGTTAATCATTGTTGTCCCAGAACTAACACAGTGTTTGCCATGACTTGATAGTAAATACATTTATTGAAAGAATATGGAGGAAATCACATACTCACCCTCCCTATACTAAATGATTTTTGGGAGACAAATATATCAGTGATATATTCTGCTTCTATAAAGATTTTGAACAGATCGTGGCTTATAAGTCATATTACATATATCCTTAACAAGTCAGCTATGGCTTATGGTCCACATAAAGAATATGAACCTCTTTATAGCTATCAAATAAAATTTATAAATACAAACTGCAAAAGCGGCTAAAATTACATAGAAAATGCAATTTTGATTAAAACATATTTCTGACTTTTGTTTCATATGCAAATCATTTCATCTCACTTCCTGACAACTCAAGAGCCAGAGTGACTATCAACATGTGATTTTATAATCATGAAGTGTAATTAGCAAAAGAAAAATTTACAAGGCAGTGCAGCTAAAAGGTGTACTATGGAGTATTGGTTTTGTTTTCTTTGCATGGCTTGCATTAAGTTTTAGATTGAAAAGCAATTCCCTCTAAAGAAATTTGGAAAAATCTAATTTTTGTCTGCTCAAGCAATTAACTCCATGTTTCTGAGCTTTGGTTGTGTTGAGGGGGAGATTTAAAACATTGAACTTCTCTGCTAATACCAAAGAAGTAATTTGTGGAAGCCAATTGTGCATTTTTTAGATGGCTTTTATAGTGCTAATTACAAAGCATACTTACATAGAGTAGGTGCTTTCAAATAACTTGAACTGTGGAAGTCACCATTAAGAAGTAAACACAGGCACAGTGTTTTAAAACTAACAACTTGCTTTATTTTTGTCAGGTGGTGGTGTTCTTGTCTTTGAACTAATGTCTTTTTAAATGGAATATCTAACTATACTCCTACTTTCCCCAATCAGCTTAGGTTGGTACTAATGATTGTACCAGAAGTCAGAAATAGAACCATAGTTTAAAAAGAAAACACTCTTCAGATCCTACATCCATTTTATAAATAAGCATATTAAAACCTACCATCTTTGCTTCCCTGAGAACATTGATCATTTGGGCTCTTTCTGACTGGCAAATGTGTCCTACATGGTAAGAAATTTCTCCTATCCATGTTGAACAATATCTTCTTTTAACAAGCTGTTAGTGTCCCTTTCCAATTAAAGGTATGGCTATCCAAATACTCATGTCCCTAAGAAGTTAACATTCTGACTTACACTCACACTTCAATGGACTAATACCAGATTTCTTCTAGAGAATATATTTTGGTGTAGAGCAGATGACAAACTATATGTAGATGAGAATTATAAATTGAAGGAGTTGAACAAAGCGGTTGAGGACCAGAGAGATTTCAGAATAAAAACATAAGCACATTGGTCATTTGAGAAGTGCAAATTAAAGCAACACTGACATTCCATCTCAACCTAGAAAGAATGGCTGTCATCAAAAGATCAACTCTTAACACATGCACACATGCCTGTGGGGCTGTGGAGGAAAAGGAACTCCTCTGCATTGTTGATGGGAGCGTAGACAAGAACAACCACCATGGAAATCAATGCGGAGATTTCTTTAAAAACTAGGATTACAGATCCCATTTGATTCAGCTATTCCCCTTCTGGGTAGTTTTCCAGAAGAAATGAAAACATCATACCACAGTGGAACATGTACACCTATGTTTATAGCAGCATAATCTGTAATAGCTAAATCTTGGAAACAACCCCAATGCCCATCAACTGGGGAATGGATAAAAATGATACAGCAATTTTATACAATGATGTATTACTTAGCTATAAAGAAAGATAGAACTCGAGGCTTTTATAGGTAAATGGTTGCAACTACAGACCATACTCATAAGTGAAATAAATCATACTCATATGTGTAAACATTGTATTTGTTTCCCTACTGTAAGAAGCTCAAAGAATAAGAACTAAAAGATAGAATAGATATAGTGAAAAGGGAAGAAACTGATCAAAAGGAAAGAACAACTGGGATAGTGGGGGGGGGGGAGGGCAAAAGATGAGTGTATATACACAAGATAGCTAAGTTAATTATACTAATTTGTACTAGTTCACTGAAAGGAACAATTAGTGTTTTTAGTGTTACATCAATTTTACATGCCTATACCTGGTAATGTAAGCAACTACTTTGAAAATAACAATAGGCTATATAATAACTTGTTAATTTCCTATCATCTTGTTTTGAAATTCTGTAACTTTGTCTCTTTAAAAAAAGAAAGCATACTTTTAATGGTGTCATTGAAGTTCATCATAGTTGCTTTTAAAATTCAGATGTGCTTAGCATTTGAGGAAACTGGTTCCATTCATGCAATAAT